GGAATACGGATAGTAATATAATAATATGTCAATGGCCATCACTGGACGCTCCTCCGCTAACAAAAAGCGCTCACCTGTAGGACCCATAATTGCGACGAACGTTGATGGGGGTATATAACCCCTAAGGTTCTTCAGGATCGCCTTCTCCGCCTTGTTCTTATACCCCCCTATAAAGATCTTGTAACTAAGGTTCCGAAAACTCAGAGAGACCCCCCTATGCTGCGCCTGTGACACGCTCAAGCGGAACGCGGAGCCCGACGGACCGTCCCCCCCCTGCTCCCTTGCATGCCCCCTCTGGGCCCTTGATTCGACATCGATCTCCATCGCCTCCCTGGGCGCCATGGCTAGCCGGTCGGTCGCCGATGGCCTAAGCTTCTCAGCTATGGTGTCAGCTTCTCAGGTACGCTATCAGCGTCTCAGCTGAGGCATCAGCTTCTCGGCTATGGTATCAGCTTCTCAGCGATAGCGTGGCAACCTCTTCATCTACGGCTGTCTTCCGATCAGGACACCAGCGATGGCGAAGTGACGCCGCGGTGGCAGCACCGTCGAGGAACAGACAAGTGGCCGCAAAATTTGACGTCGGAGCCCGCCCAAGACGTTATCTGGGGGTAGAGTGGTAAAAGATTGTTGTGTCTGTTCTGCCAGATCGTACCATTAGTTCTTCGGGACATCCGTTAAAATTGGAACGATACAGAGAAGATTAACATGGCCCCTGCGCAAGGATGACACGCATAAATCGAGAAATGGTCCAGATCGTACCATTGGGTTGTCTTCAGTGGGCCTGGCTCCACCACTCTCCAAATTTGCAAAATGGGAGCGAATCTTCCCCTAGGACATGGACAGATACACCGCCTTATTTTTGTCGTTTGTGCATGTGTGAAGCGAGGCCCTATGTGTGAGGGACGCCGGGAGCCATGTGTAAAAAAGGGAGTTATTTTCTTTTCAAAAGAAAAAAAAGATTGTGTGTGTTCTGGAATCTCGCCTCTCAGGCCCAGTCCCACTAGCTGGGGCCAAGTGCCACTACGGGAGCAGCGTTGAGTTTAGTCAACGCCCGAATGTGGACCTACCTATTTATGGAGATGTGCAGAAATTGCGTGGAGTTTCCAAAACGGCACATCTCCACAAACACGTTCCCAAGGGGAATGGAATACATACTTTCATCATTTGTAGCCTTCTATTATATTATATGGCTTATGAGTATGGATCCAATACAATTCGCCCCCATATCATTTCCTCCCACAGATGAGATATATAGATATATAGACACTCTCTTGCCAGCCGAAAGAAACCACTTATCTGGTGACCAACCTTCAACGTGCTGATCTCCAATCTCTGTATTCCGATTGGAATGGAATGAAGAAAGTTGTGTCGTGATAGAGCCGCACATGGAAAAGCAACGATGAAACCCTCATGAAGTAACGGATCTCGCTGAGCTTTGTTCGTAGGAGAGCCGATGATGAACCTGGTGAGGATAATGAAGCTGACACAAAAGCTTTCCGGTATAGAACAACCAACGCAATTTCATGGTCGGACATTGGGTTCTCTATGTGGGTCATGACCGATTGCGCAATCAGCACTAACTCGGCAGTGCCCACCTCGTAGGACGATGTGCTGGATAAATCCACTAGGGCTATGGGGCAACAGGTGTTCAGCTACTACATGATTCGACGACTTTGTCATATTTCTTCAATGCGAACACAGTAACGATCATAACAATCTCGTCGTGTACCAACACTTTCGAAGGCCCGATGTGACGAACTACTTTTTGCAACACGCAACTTTCTGCGCGGTTGCAATGAGGGGTCCTAAGTTGGGAAGGCTGGGCCAATTACGGAAGGTCGGGATCGGTGGGAAATTGCATCAGTGTCCTTGCTTTTTCGTCTTTTTCGTCGCTTCTTTTCGGATGGCTGGGTTCGGAGCTGGGTGTGTCCTGGGATGGCCGGTTGATTGATTGGTCGGCTAAATGGCTGGCGCGCCACCTCGCGCGCGATTAATAAATGTTGACGTCGATTCTTTTGTTTCGGTTCCAAACTTTTGGGCGTGGACATCGCGCGGGAATTTGCTTCGTTCTTTTTGGATTT